ATTATTGTGTTAATATTGCTACTTTATTTACTATCGAGTGCTGCTCTATATTATTACCATTAGAATTGTATAATAAAAAAAAACAATAACACACACACACACACACACACAGAAATAAGACAAAATAATTACAGTAACAATAATAGAAAGATGAAGATTAGACAAAAAAAAAAAATAACGATTAACACAGGACAATAGTAGTCGTCTCATCGAGAAAATCTTTTAACTGGTCGATATTTTTTCTTTTTTCTTTTCTTTTCTTTTCTCCCCATTTTTTTCAACCCCCTCTCTCTCTCTCTTTCTCTTTTCTTTTTTCCATTTCTTATTTCAGTTTCGTCGATACAGGACGATGGATAGAACGCGAAGGGAATTTATACTTACAATTACGCGCGAGTGAGAAAAAGAAAGAAACAAAACGAGAAAGAGAGAGAGAGGGCGATGAAGGGGTTGGTGAGGGGACAGGAGTTCGGGTGGTTGTAGGAGGAAGAGGGGTGGGGAGACGTCGAACGCAGGTAAGACTTGGACGTAAGGAGACTCGAAAGAGATTTCCACGAAATTGAAATGGATCGTCGTATTGGGTGATGCGAAGAAGAAGAAAAAGAAGGAAGAGGAAGAGGAGGGGGAGGAGAAGGAGGAGGAGAAGAGAAAAAAAAGAAAAAAAAAAAGATTATCGTGGTTGGTAGGGATGGTGTGACGTTGCTGTGTGATGTCCTGAAAGAAGAATAAAAAGAAAAAGAAGAAGAAAAAAAGTAGAAGAGGGTTGTATAAAGTAAGAAAGGGTGCAGTTTACTACGGGGTTACATTCGTAGATTCCCCGTTGGATAAAGAAACGCCGAAATAGACAAATAGTTGCTCGCGGATGTACCTTTGAGAGAGAATCAAACAGGTGGCGTGTAGTTGGTTGGTTGGTTTGTCGGTTGGTCGGTTGGTTGGGTGTGAAAAGGGAAGTACGAAATTGTGAAAAAGAAACGGCTAAGAAAATAAAAGAAAATAAAAGAAAAGAAAATGGAGAAAAGTTTGGCGGATGTACCACGCCCCCATAGTGTTGCGAGGATACGATACTCTTACAAATGTAACAATTTATTTTCATTACAACGTTATTAGGAGTGAATCGTCGTAGGATTCGAACCCTCCTCCTCACCCCCCTTCCTCCTTCTCCTCCTCCTCCTCCCCCTGCTGCCTGCCTGCCAACCCCCTCTTGTACCCTTCTCGTTTATCAACGTGTACTCCTCGTGGTGTTTCTTTAAATATATGTTTGTGTGGATACGTGTATATATATGTGTGTGTAGAAGTCGCGTGAACGAATAGTAGGAGTGGCTCCGAGTGATCGTCATCGATCCCAAAGCCGACTACTATACTTCGAAATTCCGATCGGACATTTTCCCTTCAACGGGTACGATTAACACAACACATTTTAAGGCCCTAACCCTAAGCACATCGACTTGCGCTATTGGAATTTTCTTTATTCTTCTACCACCATTACTATCATTATCATCTTCTTGTGAATTATCCAATGGTATTTCCGAAGATTAAATAACATTAAACATTTATAATTCGATCTACGTTTTTTTTCTTTAACGATAAGTGAGAGAAATAATTATACGCATACACACACACACACACACACAGATCTTATTAATTTGATATTATATTTTATAAAACGTGTTATCATTACATATTAATTAATTCTTTAATATATATTAATAAGACTTTCTACTTCTTTTTTTTTTGGATTGTTTAAAGAAAGATTAAGTTGATCGAATTTTTTCAGCTTAATGTTCAAATAAAAATGTCACATAGTTACATACATCTAGAACTGTAACATAGTTTAATCTAGCTAAGAAAATATTCAATGATATTGTCCCTAACTGTGTGTTGTAAAAGATTTCTTCTGTCCTAGAATCAGTTTGTCTGTTGGAGTCGATTGCAAGTAAGGAAAGAGAGAAACTGTTTCTAGTTTTTCTACGAGAGAGACAGAGAAAGAAAAACGAAAAGAGAGAAATAGAAAGAGAAAGAGAAAGAAAAAGAGAAAGAGAAAGAGAAAGATAGATAGAGAAAGTAGAAG